GGCTAGCGCGGTAGCTGAGCGTCCGCGGCGGTGCCGGGCGCTCTCCGGGATGGAGCTTAGCAGCCGAGGCCCGCCCCCAGTACAGCTCCGGGAGCCCGAAGGCCCCGCCCACTTCGGGCGGGGCGGGGCGGGGCGCCGCATCCGGCCCCGCCTCCAGGGGAAACCAAGGGGCGGGCAGAGCGCCGGCCCCCGCCGACCCCCCCGCACAGTGCGCCCGCCCGGCCAGCGCCCTGCCAGAGGCGCGTTTGGGCCCTGGTCCCACCCCACTACGCGTTGGATTGGGCCGCTCTGGGGGTGTGTGGGAGGGGCGGGGCGCGCGCGGGGGAAGCCGCGGAGATGGTACAGTCCGTCCACTGGGCTTCCAACCCCACCCCACCGGCGGTTCAAGTTTCTGCCCCCGGAGGACGCGGCCGCGGCCAATCCCCGGGCTGCAGGGCGCTTTTAAAACGCAGGTAGGGCTGCGGGGAGGGGGCGGTGGGAAAGGTGGGGCAAGGCTGCCCTTAAAGGGGACGCGCGGCCTTGGGCGCCGAGCCCCCTCCCCGCCCACGCCCCCGCCCGCCTGCCTCCGCCCCAATAAATAAATACCCACGGTCGGGGCTACAAGTCCCCTTCTCCCTCCCGGGGCACCAGAGTTCAGCGAGGTCTGAGATATGGCAAACAATGGGACTCCGACAGGGGGTCGTCCTCCCCGGCGGCAAGGCCGCTCTTTGTCCCCTTCCCTGCCCCCAGGCTCCTCTGGCACCACCTCCACCCGGTCCTCGCCGGTGCGCGCGGCCGGGCCCCGTGTCCACTCCGCGCGCCGGGCTGTGCTGCGGCGTCCGTACACCGCGAGGGCTCGGACCTGCTAGCTAACACCCGGAGCACGGCCGTGCCCTAGTCCCCGTCCCGATGGGGGAGGCCGCGGAACATGCCCCCGCCCCGGGCGCTCACAACCCCGCTCCCCAGCCCACCCGGCCGCTGGTGCCCAGGACTCGGGGGCCATCTGAGGTTCGCGAGCCGGAGACCGCGGAGACGGGGGTCTCCTATTGGAGCCTTAACGCCAGGGTCGGGGAGCGCAGAACCAGCCGCAGAACGCCCTCTCCGCCGCAGCCTCGCGGGGACCCGGGCCCTCCCACAGCCTATGATGTCTAGTTATCCTAATGTCCCCGCAGCGCACTGAAGCGCGTCTGCAGCGAGCCTGGCCGAGGTGGGCGTCCCTTCCCCGGGACCCGGAACGAGATCCAACCCGCGCGCGCGGCCGTGAGCTGTCCCTGGCCTGGAGCGCGCGCCCACGCAGCAGTTCATGTCCCCACTCATAGTCACTCATCCCCTCGTTCAACAACTGTGTACCCGGCGCGGAAGGTTCTGCAGGGAACCAGGCAGCCGAGGCCCCTGCCTTGTGGGGAGAGGAGGGAGGGAGGATAATAAACTAGAAAAGCACGAGACTACTGAGTGCTGTGCGGTGGAACTAAGACAATGCGCCGCCGCAGAGAGTGATCATCGTTTACTTTAGATCCTGTGGTCAAGGAGGGCCTCGTAGGAGGGGCGTCTAAGCTGAGGTCTGAGCGGCAAGAACAAAGATAAGAGGGAAGGGCATTCTGCAAAGTGTTCAAGGAAGGTCAGTGTGGCTGGAGAGTGGGCCGGGAAAGACGGGTGGGAGATGAGGTCAGAGGCCAGAAGGGACAGATCAGGTGTGACTGGGGAGAGAGCTGGAGGGTTTAAGCAGGGGAGGGACATGCTGGGGTTTACTTTACCTCTTAAGAGACTCACTCTGGACGCTAAAGGAGAAGGGATTGGAGAGGTCTGAGCCAGTGGAGACTGAGCACCTCACCCCCACCCCAACCCCTGCTCTCTCCAGGTAGTTGGCAGTAAGAGGATGATGGGGCAAGGCTGAGACAGAAGGCAGAGCTGCCACGGTCACCAGACCCAGGCGAGCCAGCTCCTGGGCCATAGGGGTCATCTTCACGGTGGGGACACTGTGCCCTGCAGGCCCAGGCCAGCCCAGCAGAGTTTGGGTTTGGACAGGGAGGGGGTGGTTTCAGCTCAGCCCTGGGAGGCTGCAGGTCCATCTTTACCCCCAGAAGCCAGATGACACCGCTGCCTGCAGGATCCTGCAGAATGAATCAGTCTGGGGCACAGACAGCTCTCCTGGGATTGGAAGGTTTAAGCATCTGACACCAGCTCGGCAGGGAAGCTGCTGAGAGATTAACACTGTGCTCTGGGGGACCCTTCCCCCCACTTGTGGTGGCCCAGTTGGTTCTGGTGGCCTGCATTCCGTGCCCGATCCTCCAGAGCTGGCTGCTTCAACAGAACTTTCCGAAAGTAAAACAGGCTTCTGTCCAAACGGGGTTTGTTTGCATCTTCTACACACTGGGCAGTCCAAGGGCCCTGGAGATTTTCGCCCACGTCCTCTGGCAGAGCAGATACACGCTGCCCTGAAGATGTGCCTGGGTGCTTGAGGGAGGATCTCCAGGCCCCACACGCCGGCCGGACACACTTGGGCATAGCAGGACAGAACAGCAGGAGGCGAGGGCACCCAGACCGAAACAGGGTTCTGAAGCAAAAGGGGTCGCCCAGCCAGAGCCACTCCCTGTGGCCCCACAACCCCAGGGTCAGAAAGCAATCCCGTGCCCCTGAGAAGACTCAGCACCTCACAGACGCTGTGCCCGAGCCAGGAGCGTCAGAACCAGCTAGGGCTGAGAACCACTATGCTAACACATGGTAGAGAAAATATTCCAAAATGCAGGGTCTGGGGACGGGGTGTGATAAGAGGAGGCTGGTGGTAAGCAGACTGTGCCACCTGGCACGACTGATGCTTGCATCACCCACTGGGTCTGAGCCCCTCCGTCTGAAGATGAGGAAATTGAGCCCTGGAAGGGAAATGACTTGCCCAAAGTCACTTTCATTCACCGCTTACTGAATACCTACTGTCTGCACCTGTGATTGGCTCTGGAGAGTGTCATCTTTGTCCTTGGCTTAAAGCTTAGCAGAGGGGTCAGAGACACAAGCATATCATATATGCATTGACCTGTAAACACATAATGTGTATGCAGTCACATATGCATTGTGCTGCACTGGGGTAAGAACAAGAGTATAGCAGGTCCAGGGTTGATGGCGGGGCGTGGCCAGTCCGCATTCCTGAACTGGTGACGAGCTTGCTGTGCTTGTGGTCCAGGTACCACGGAGAGATGGACTGTCAGTGTGAATGCCCCCCTCCCTGTGCCCACCTCAGGTATCAGGGTTCATCACGCACCCACCTTGAGCCTGAACTTGAGCCCTTTGGGAGGGTGGATTCCTGATGGTTGGGTTGCTTGTTTAGCGGAAGCTCAGCACCCCCCAGGCAGAGTTCACCGGCTTGGGGTCAGTACTGGAGGCTAGTGTGGTGGCTGAATCTTGCTGCCGGTGAGCGAGGCCATGGCAGCTGGCCAGCTCTGGGGCACGGCGGGTGGGGGTGGGCTCTGGGGTCTCTTCCCTGCCCCCCATCCAGAGGGACCCAGATATTCAGGATGTCACCATGCACAGCTGAAAGACAGCAAGAAATCAGGACGACACTGATGGAGCACGGTCTGTGAGCCAGCGCTGAGCTGGACCTTTGGATTATCTCATGGAGTCCTCACCACAGCCTGGGAAGGAGGCGCGCTTATCCCCGTTTTACAGAGGAGGAAACTGAGACTCACACAGGTTAAGTCACTTGCCCAGGTTTACACAGCTAGCAAGTGGCTAAGTTAGGATTCGAACCCAGGACCGTTTGGGCCCAAGAGTGTGCTCTACGCCCTAGACCACAGCTTCCTTGATTCCCCTTTCCTGAAGAGTAGTGGACCCGACGACCCGCGGTGGCCCTTCCAGCTGTGGCCCGCACTGCGCTAGGACCGTGCTCACGACCCGTCTTCCTCCTGCGTCAGACCTCTCCCGTTGTAGCCAAGGCGGACAGACTCTGGGGTCTCTGGACAGCTTTGATGTCGGAGCTTCCCCGCTCTTCCTGCTGACTTCTCACTGCCTGGGGTCAGCTCAGTCTCCCGGCTCCTCTGTCACTGACTGCCAGGTGAGCTTAGACCACTGCCGATCCCCTCTGAGCCTCACTTTCCTCATATAGCCCTTCTCCCCAGGCCCA